AAATACAAATACATATGTATTTTTAAAATTAATTGTAAGTTCACCTCATCTCTCTTAAAAATTGTTACTTCTCAAAATTTTCCATTAAAAAAATAGACCATATACCGTATAAAATTAAATAATTGAATGATCGGAAAATCACACAAATTTTCGGAAAAATTTTGACCACCTGCACACTTACACAATCGTCAATTAAAAAAAACACTACTACTTTAATATTTTAAATATTTTAATACATGCAAAAATAGCACAGTATTTAGAAGGCAAGTTATAAAAATTTGGAAGAATTAATAATGCACTGACGCAGACAAAAATCAAACGAATACTAAATTTCATTTATCAAAAGCATTCGATAGTCGTGGCTTAACGATAACCATTTAGTTGCACGGCGAGGTTGTCACATATGCTTTAGTATACAAATGAATGAATGATTTTATTCGAATGAAACCATTCGATAGTTGAAATCATTCATTCAGTAACCATTCGATAGTCTAATTCATTCGATAGTTCCCATCGCTACTAAAAATGGCCGAGATATATTTTTAATAGTATATTAAAAAGAACATATTAATCCAATTTGCCGTTCCTATGCGCCGTCACTGTTCACGCGCCGTTTTTCATCCCCTGCTACAGCCTCCTATCCCGATTCCGGCAGACGCTCAGAGGGCGTCAGCGTCGGCGTCGTCTCGCTGGTGGTCGTGACGACGCCGACTGTCATCGGCAATTATTTCACGTCCCGTCGATAAGTATCTCCATCTTGTTTTCCGCGTTTGTGTCTTGTTAGTTATTTTCTATTTACCTTACACACGGTTTAAAATCACAGCAAAACTGAGAAGGGATTAACGTAAGTGATTTTTGTATTTTTTTAATTCTGTTATGATTTTGTGTTCGTAGTTTTTTTTGTATATTGATATTAATTATTGTCGAATATGTATTTTTTTTGTTGTAGTTTTTTGTTTACTGTTTGTTATAATTGAGGTGTTAAAATACATATACCTTTGAAGATTTCTTGAAAAAAATCTGGGTATTTCGCCACTGAAACAGAAGTATAAAAAATATAGTAAATTGAAGACTACAGGGGAAAAACGATCTAAGTCACATTTTCTTATTTTTGAGATAAATGATTTTGAAACTTTAAAGACTAAAGGAAAAGAAATAATAAAATGTAGCGAATCGTAAGAAGTTTTTATCAATATTTATATGTATAGTCATTAACTGATTAAAAGACAAAACAAAGAAAAATAATTTGTAGCAAATTTATTAGATAAAATAAAACTCGTATTCGCTTGGTTCAATGAAAAAGTGATCCAAGTCCATATGGAATAATTCTGGATGTGGTTACTCTGAGGATTACTCGTGCTGGAATAAAGAGAAAAATATGTTTTTATTCTCATTTTTATTATTAATATTGTTATTATATTTTCTTAATATTTTTTTATTTATTTCTTATTTTTATTATTATTTTTTTATTAGTATTATTAGCATTAGATTATTTTTTACTTAGGAATGGCGATTTGTTTCTGATAAAATGAAACTACATTACTAGACAGTTCCCTTATGGTTCCACTAGAACGTTAACAGAATTTAATTTCTTTGAATTTAAAACTAGTGACACAATAGACATAATCAGACGTCTTTTCTTACGTAAAAATAAAAGCAATATAGTTTAATTGATATCACTCACCATATCTGCACCGTTTAGACGAGCATTGTTTGACGCACAAGGCAAATTTGTGTAGTAGTCTTGCAGAGATTCATCTACGAACTTTTTCGAAAATTGTATCTGCTCATACTTGAGTTTGGGCAAAGAAATTAGGTCAGCATAAAGTTGTTGTGGTGGTGAATATATAGCTATTTTTATTTGTTTTATATGCGTTGACATGTTTACAAACGTCTTCCGTGAATTCACGTGGACTTAGATCGCTTTTCCAAAGTATTAATATTTTAATAGCTGATTTTAGTGGACTTAGATAATTATGCCCGGTGATGCCCGGTGGCGTAGACCCCCACACTCGGCATTCCATCAGCCGATTATTTTTATTAAAATAAAAATAGTTTGGGTACCTAGGTCGACTCAGCCTTAAATGAGTACTTGGGATTCACAGTCCTGAGGTAATAATAGGCGGTTGAAGCGTAGTGCTAGCCACATTACCTTCCTTGTATACCGAACGGCTCTAGTATAGCAAGCTGTACCTATATACGGGAGCTATTATTATTATTATTATTATAGATAATAATTTCAGTGTTACATTATTCCTATTTTGGAACGGACACTTGATGGGTATAAGATGGCAGTGTTATCTCAATTTCTATTTTTTTGGCCTTAGTCCGTTTTTTCCCGTGTAGTCTTCAATTATTTTTTTATAAAATACTACATAGTTACAATCCAAACTTAAATCAGCTTCTCAGTGGGTTTTTTTACTCTAAAACAAATTTGTCTAACGAAGTAACTAATAATAATAATAATATATAACGCTTTCAGCGGTATATATATCTCCATCCGTCATCAGAAGCAAAGAAAGACAAGATAAATTAAAAACTATTATTTAAAACGAGCAATTTAGTTTCTTATTCAGCCATTTCTATTAGAACCATTGGCATTTTGATATTAATATATTATCAATATATTTACATATTATTTATTCTTAATTTTTTCCATTGTTTTCTTTATTACGGTTTATAAATTAGTTCTCATTTAACAATATTTTTATTCCACATCATTTTGATACTGTACCTGTGTACCAATATTCTCTGGTTGTGTGCTAGGAAGTAAATTTTCATGCATATTTTTATCGATAGATTTGTAGCTTCTGAATAACAGTCTAGGTAAAACATTTAGTTCATTTGCCAGCTCAATTAGAATTATTAGAGTTAAGGTTAAGCAACTCGCATTTTCATTGGAGGACATTGGCCTACATACATGACGGGTTCATTATGCTAAATTCAACTTTCCTTTAAAAACGGATTAGATATGACATACTCCACAATACTACACAATACCAGCAAACATGCTATTCTTCTACTCCATCCAAAAAAGCACCACAAGTATAGTAAAGTCCAAAAAAACGATACAAGCATTAGAACGATAGCATATCATTGAACAAAATTTGCCGCATTCACTTTTTCTTTATGTGTATAACAATAAATTATTACTAGTACTGAATATTAACATATTATTAAAATTAAGTTACGTTTGAAAATGACGATGACAACTTAAGGAATGTCGGTTTTTGACTGGTGTTTGATTGTTACCTATTCAGTTTTAATTTAAAAACCGTTTAGTTTTTCTCAAATTACCTAAAATCGGCTTGTCCAAAATTGTTCAAATTTGGCATGTGTGTTTACCAAAGGTAGACCTTTAAAAAGTCTATTTACGACTCCGTTGTAAAATCCATAGGGGAGCCAATATCTGGACAGTTCAAATTTTGCATGGGATTTTCTATGTTCCCAACAACGATGCAACACCCGGTGTGTCTAATCGTTGTAATGTCAGCAACGCTTTGATGGAAAAAAAGCATCTCGACTTGCAACAATGATATCAAAATATTCCTGTAAAATATGTAATATTAGCGTTAACTATTAGTTATATTACATTGAATTAGAGGGATCAGTTTACCGTAAATGAATGTTTTTATTCGCTGAATATGTTTTGTTCTAAATCGAATAATAAAATGTTGTTAGTTATAACAATATGTGTATATTTAAACTAAAATGATTATAATAGTTCTGCTAACTGCGCTATGTTTGTATTATGGAGTGTAGAGGTAAGGAGAAATAAGTTATCCATGGTGCAGCTGTAGCAAAAACCTAAAATTTTAAATATGCGCCGAAAATTTTTAGAACAGGAAATGATTCAAACGAGATAAATATTTGACGTGAAGGGGCGGGTTTCAAAAAAATACAAATTTTATTTGCATGTCATATGAAACAAGTTATCGATTTTTGTTCAGCCTCTAATATATATAAATAATTGTTTTATATTATAAAAATAAAAACAAAGCTTTTTTTGGATAATGTTTGGTTTTGGTTATGTCACTTTTATTCTCTTATCTATGGTTATTTTTCATTTTTTAGATTTATGCGTCATTAGCGCCACATTGGTCATTTGGTGAACCCTAAAGGTTGGTTCTCACTATACCTTCCGTTTCCATTCCATATTCGTTCCGTATTTTTATTGTATTGACGCTATACGTAAGCATCCGATCCGTATCAGTTCCATACTTTTTATTCTACAATTTATATCATTACGAAAGTTTTATTTAAAAAAATTGTATCTTTTGAAAAAGGTAATAGATTTAATTAAGAGGTGAAAGAATAAATAAATATCAGCGAAATTTTAACAAAGCTGGTACAAATGTAAGAATTTGACAACGCTGTTTCCGATACGCTTTAGTCCGTCCGTCAAAAAATGTATGGAAGAAAAGGATATGGAACGGAAGGGAAACGGAACGGATAGTGTGCATTGTCCTATTCATTTACATGATACAATATATTTTATGTAAACGGAAGGGAAACGGAAGGGGGCCGATAAGGAAGGTATAGTGAGAATCAATTTTATGGCCAATTTTTTAAATTAAATTCCATAAGAGATATTGCTCCTCATCTCTACACTTCATAGTTTGTATGAATGAATTTTGCTCTGAAGAATAGGGCTATTGTTGAAAATACCTTATTCTATGTAAAAATATGCAAAAAATGTAAACATATCTCTCTTGTTAAAGAAAAATATGTTTAAGATTTTGACCAACCATCGATAAAAAACGACTTTTTAATAACTTGTAGCCTTTCCAACCTCAAAATCCTGTCCAGCAGTCGGCGATCGGCATTTCCCTCAGACACCTGCTGTCTACCTTCGCCCGGGCTCATTTTTCTGCGTCTCTTTGATCGACTGATGTTTGGGCCTTGGCCAATTTATAACCACGATCTCCTTTTTTTTTCTTTCTGTGTTGTTTTTCCCCCGATCCGGCGGCAGGTCTTTGATATTCCACCGACAGCGAGCGATGGTGAACTCTATCGATACCGTACCTCCTACTATACCTACCGGTCAAATCTTCGACTGGTATTAATCAAAATACGTTCTAGAGAGTGTTTTTTTTGTGGTTTGTATATACAGGGTGGTCCATTGTTCTAAAAAAAGCTCTGTAGATATCTTTCAGACACCTCTATAGATATCAACATTCAGAAACTGATCTCGCCAAAATTATCATCGATTTTCGTTCCCCAGCCGTCTTTAACGTCGTTTTTTTTCCATCGTATGGTATACAGGGTGTTTCAAAAAACATGTGTCACCTCTCTTGGGGAGATTCATCACGTAAAGATAAGATTTATTTATCATATAAACATCGGTCCGATTCTGCTTTATTTTCTAGCTAAAGGGTGTTAAAATCTTAATATTTTTTCGATTTCTTATAATTTTTTTTCTAGGACTTTTAGCGATTCGAATGAAATTTTGAGTGTAAAAGTTATTATAAATGCCACATATTTTAATGCTAAAAAAGTGTCGTCATATTTACCAGTGACGTGCATATGGGTTTTCACTGGAATATTTTTCTAAAAAAAGCATGTACGTATCTAATACAAGATATACATATCGGATATTATTAATTGGAATACCATTTATTTTCAAACCAATGGGACTATCGGAGATTGACTCAGTGAATGCTCTTTCCACATATAAATTGAACAACATTGGAGATAGAATACACCCTTGCCTTACCCCCTTTTTTATTTCAAAATCTTCTGTTACTCCCACGCTATGTATACGAATTTCAGCTTTTTGGTTCCAATACAAATTACTGATGAGCCTTATATCTTTTCCATCAAGTCCCAAGTCTCCGAGGTATGATATAAGGAGGTTATGTTTAACGTTATCGAACGCCTTTTCATAGTCTATACAGCACATGAAGACATCTTTTCTCTGATCTTGGCAATTCTGTACTAAAGTTTGAAAACTGAATATGGCTTCTCTAGTACCAAAGCCGTTCTTAAATCCAAATTGACTTTCTCCACTTACTTCCTCACATTTTTTGTAGAGTCTTGTATGCAGTACCCGTAAAAAAAGCTTAAGAAAGTGGCTCATTAGACTAATAAGACGATACTTTTTACACGAATTTGCGTTACTTGACTTGGGTAGCGTGATAAACGTAGAACGAAGCCAGTTTTCAGGGATGTGACCGGTGTCATAGATGTTATTGAAAAGCTGTACTATAGTTTTTAAGTTTTGTTCATTAATTAAGTGGAACGTTTCCGAATACATATCATCAGGCCCTGGAGTTTTGTCGTTTTTCATTAATCTAATCGCATGAATAATTTTACTTTCCAATATGCTTGGTCCTGATGGCATGGGAATCTCAATTGCACAATTTCGCTAGTAAGAGAAAAGAAAGTCAGTGACGTACATGCTTTTTTTCGAAAATTATTCCAGTGATAACCCACATGTACGTCTCTGATGAATCTGTGGACACTTTTTTAGCAGCAAAATTTCATTCGAATCACTAAAAGCACTTAGAAGAAAATTAAAATAAATCGAAAAAAATTAAGACTTTAACGCCCTGTAGCTACGAAGCAAAATAGGACGGATTAAATTGATATGAAAAATAAATTTTATTTTTACGTGAGGAATCTATCCACGAGAGATGGCACATGTTTTTTAAAACACCCTGTATAATCTACGTTATGCTGACGTCATATTGCGACGTCAATGTTGAAAAAAAAATAGTTTTGCAACAAATTCAAAATAATTTTTCTACTACCAGTATTTTTTTATTAGAAAAAATATGAATTTTTAATTGAATGATTTATTAATTGAAACATACATGAATGAAAAAAATGGTTATTTGGTGGTACTTGACACGTATATTAATATTAAATTCCTTTATTGTTGAAATGTCACATAAATATGTGATAAATTAATAAATGTTTTGATGAATAATTTTGCAAACAAAATTAGTTCAGCAACTACCAATTCATATGTAATAATTTAAATAAATACGAATTTTTATTTAGTTTTTATTTTTTAATTTCAAAATTATATTATATTTAAATTTCAAAATAAAAATTTATATGTTGAAGAAGAGTTGCACTAATATTAATATACATTTTATATTGCAGATAAAAAACGTATTTGAGGAGAATGGATAGATATCTACCAAAAATATAACAAGGAATGAATGACAGACTAAAAATTCTGATAATCAACTTAAAAAAAAATAAGTATGGGGACTGGACTAAGCAAAAGGATCTGGATTTGGAGTGCCTAGAACATGACTACTTCTAAGAATATTGGTGATGTATCAACATTTTAGTCTATATTTCGCTACGTTTTTTGATTAGATCACGACAAGAAGTAGCACATTCGTGATCTACCCTGTAGATCCGGGTTTTTGTAGATGTTACAATTCAGAAGCTCGTCTCTACAGGTATCTTACGGATGGGAGAACGCTCTAACTATTAATGAAAGTAATGAGTGCCCTGAAAATATTTTCACTTATTTATGAGTAGAGATCGGCAAGACAAGAAATCTTGTCTTGACAAGTAATTTCTTGTCTTGTCTTGAAATATTTTCAAGAATTAAAATAAAATCTTGTCTTGACCATTTCTTGAGAGTTGATTTCTTGTCTTGATTCAAGAAATCTTGAAATTTCTTGATATCTTGACAAAAGGGGAACCCCCGTTTAAAATTCGTTTATTAAAGGGGAACCCCCGTTTAAAAGTTGCGGTGAGATTGGTTAATATGATGTTTATGCTTTATACGTAAAATCGAGGGTCAGGCATCTGATTTTCAAAAAATTCAAAAATTTTGGGTTCATTATACTACAGTAGCCAAAATCATCAGATTTTCATAATTTTGTTATTTATTATTATCATTATGTAACAAACATGTGTTTTAAAATGAATGATTGTGATGGTCCATTGAGCAGCAAATCTGAGCCATTTGTAATTGAATCTGGTCCAGAATACCTACCAGCTCAGACACCTGGACGTAGAAGTTTAATTAGTGACTTTGACAGTAGTGACGGTGATAATACTACTACAGATAAAAACAGTCAATACAACAATGATAAAAGCTACTCTACTATATCTATATATATATATAAATATATATATATATATATATATATATATATATATATATATATATATATATATATATATATATATATATATATATATATATATTTATTAAATCGACGGAGTCAGACCCGATACGTTTAAGATAGGCCGTCAGACCCGGGGTATATCGAACAAAAAATGTTCAAGCGATGCTTTCAGGCCCTGATGGTGGACCGTTTAATTTGTCCCATTTATATAAAAAATAGAGGTTTATTCGTTTTCGCCAGACCCACGACGTTGCCGCTTTTAATTCTCAAATATTTATATTAGAATTAGACGAACGGACCTTTTGACGCGGTAATTGATCACAGTGCAGAAGTAAAAACGGTGCATTTCTGCTATAGTGAATATTATTGTACTTATTGTTAGTATTAGATATATTCTGTCTTATAAATGCATCTGTACGAAAGCGTTTTTTATCTGAAATTTCTTTGTAATAAGCATAATCAAGTTACAATGCATTATCACTTTCGTTTAGATTTTGTAAGTGTTTACTAAGTGATGATGGAAACCGGTTTATTATCTTTATACTTTAAAAGAAAAAAAGTTTAGCTACTTCTACAACGAAATCATAGCATCGAAATAAATTTTTAGATACTCGTACAATTTTTTGACACGACGATCGATTCCGACAAAAAAAAAATTAGTTACTTCTACAACGATATCGTAGCATCGATATAAATATTTAGGTACTCGTACAATTTTTTGACACGACGATCGTTTCCAACGACTGTCATTTCTAAGGTAATTTGACGCCGTGTTTTGGAATCATAGGGTATGTGTGTATTTATCATTAACCTTTTTTCTATTTTGTTGTAAAGAATTATTTTAACTTATTTTTTTATTACATACAGATATGAGGGCGGCAATTTAAAAATTTGCACTGTGGGCAAGACGGGTAAAAAAAAGATGCTCATTTAGAATATTAAGAAATTCAGACAAAAAAATTAAAATAAGCATTCTTTAAAGATTGTTTCTACTAGTTTTATTTAAAAATATAAATAATATAAGGTCTAATCTGGCGAGTTGAGTTTGGATGAGACTGTAAACAAAATTTTTAAAAGTATAAATGTAGTAATTTAAATTTTCTGCGTCTGATAAAATTCATGTAGCAGTAAAGTAGGAAAAAAGTTTAGGTTTAAAAGCATTAATTTCTGGAAATTCCCTATTTGTAGAGGCTGGGAACCACCTACTTTTCTGGGAACCCCATATTTTCAAGTTTAAATTATTAGAACTGTGATTAAAACAAATCACTATTTTCATTCATATTGCAATCAACGAATAATAAGAATATTATATTATCAAATATTACACTAATTAAATTTTCGAATACAAAGTAAACATAGAAGATACAACATATTATAGAGATGCAACCATAAAACGTGTTTGTCATATTTACATGGTGTTGGTAGATAGCATCCAGCCGTAAACTGAATATACAACGTATTACTGTAGTGTGTAGCAAAAAAGCCGTCAAAATTTTTGTTTCACTGAAATTACTATTTTAGATCTTACTGAACGAAATAATGCAATAAAATTAATTATTGTGAAATAACTGAATACTATCATATTTATGATCGAAAAACGGCGTCAGCGATGGCTATGAAATGAAAATTGCTGTCATTTTATATGTAAAATTATATGGTGAATGTCATCGATCGTCATTTCCAAGCTAACTGGACGCCGCTTTTTTTTCGATCATACGGTACCTTTTGTTTTAAACTTTTTCCTGTGGGGGAGAAATATCATACAAAACGGCCTTATCGTACAGTCACTATCATATATACGATGATCGTAATTATTTTGATGTAATTACTTCGACAATGAAATCCATACCACCGAAATAAATCTTTGGGTACTCGTACAATTTTTTCGACACGATGATCGATTTAGATGAAAAAAAACTTTAGGTCACTTCTGTGTATATGTATAACCATATGCGAAAAT